CATGTTGCTGCTGAGTGGGACAAGGATGTGGATCCTGCAAAAGCTTTCGTCATTGATGGACAGTTTGCTAATGGCGAAATTGGAGCGGCATTCAAGTAAGAATTAATGTGTAATATTTAGCTTATGTCATACAATTGTCAGTTAGGGTACGAATCTTTCAAGACAGATGAGTGCAATGATTTACTCCTTTGGTAGAAGCCCTGAATCCTTTTAACAAGATGTTTTCTACAGCCGTAAGAAATATGGTTTATAATTACAGATATGGTGACAGGGAAGTGTCCATCCTTGGCAAGCTAATTGACAGTGGTGTGGAGGTGGAAACCAAATGGGCTTCTGACAAGAGAATTTTGTCAATGTTCACTACACTTGGCAATACCAATTCGCTGGCAGCTACAGTGCAGACGCCATTCCAAGGTTGGGAAAAACAGGATGCCACCTTTACCTTCTCCATCAAGGATTATGAAGTTGAGAGCCGATTTTCTGCTACATGGAAGAACACACAGCAAATGGCACTTATTGTCACTGGTAAGGTAGAACCTGGACTCTTTACCAATGCTTTCCACCAAAGTTGCATTCACAAGCACCTTTGATAACTATGAGCGTATCGAATTCTCTCTGGATCATAACATGGTTGATTCTACCATCAAGACTCATTTGGAGGGCGCCTGGAACCAAGAGAAAATGGAAGGCAACTTCCAACTCACTCCTAACACCAATGGTGTAGATGCTCGAGCTACCTTCACTTCCCCTGTCACAGAGAACATCCTTGTGACATTGCATCATGAGTTACTCAACAAGCAGTTGTCTACCACATTTGAAGTGAAATATGGACAAGAGATCTCTACTGCTACTGCCACAGGTCACGTGGATTAGTAATGTACATGACATCACTCTGGTGTTCAAGGTTGACACCCCTGTTTCTTTGATCCCTGAGATAAATGCCAATCTTAATACTCCCTGAGTGGAGAAAGTCTCAACTTGATCACTGAAGGTAAGATTGGGGAGAAGAAAATCATGCTTAATGTAAGCGGCCAGGACTGTCAGTGGCGACACTACGGACATTTCTGGAGACGTTCGCTTCATCACTCCTTTCACTTACCCTCTGACAGCATCTCTCAAGCACACCCATGACATGGAGCACTTTACATCACAGTTCGAGATGACCAGGATCTGGTCTACATACGGTAGCGTCAGGTGCACGCTCAAGGACACATGCTCTCCAAGAATGATGTAGAATTCAAGGTTGACGTTTCTAGCCCAGTAAATAAGGGATCAATCGCCTTCAAGCACACTGTCACTAACACCAAGATGGATTCCTCAGTTGATGTCATTTTCAACTCTGAACGTATTCATATGTCTGTGGGTGGACTTCTGGATGTGTCTAGGAACTTGGCAAACATTGAAGCTGAAGTTACTTCCACTTTCAGTGGCCTAGATGATGTAAAAGTCAGCATCGATAGCAAGAAGGATGACAACACAAGAACTTCCAACATAGTTCTCATGAAGGGAACAAAATCTGTTGTTATTGACCATACCATTACCTTCAATGATTGGTTCAACTGGGAAAACTCCTTTATTGTGAATGGAGTCTACAAATTAAGCAACAAAGCAGATGCATGCTGGCTCTCTGTACAAACACCAACTTGAGTACATGTGGGATCGCCAACTTGTGCAATTCGAAGGAACTTTCGACAAGAAGATCTCTGGAAATACCCGTCAGATTGATGCCCAGGTCTCCCTTTCCACTCCTTGGACTGAGGACATGAAACTTGATTTGCACCACCAAGATGATGGTGTTGAGTACAAACCAACACTTATCATTGAGTACAGGCCTGGAATGAAGATTGAAGTTGCCTCTGTTCTGAAATGCGATTCATCATTCTTCTACACTGCATCCACTCTTACAACACCATTCTGGCAGCCAATGGGATACAAACTCAACATTGACTTCCAGCCAAGGAAGACTGCTACTCTTGTTTTAACCCGTGGAGCCAACAGAACTACTATTGACATCACAGGAAAAATTGAACAAGGAAAGGTAGATGGTGAGCTGCATATCGATTCTATATCTTACCAAACCGGTTTCTCTGGAGGTGTTCTATGACATCATTTCAGCCGAAAAGAAAGTGAACTTGGCGCTTGATTTTGACAAGAGGTATGAGATAACAGGAGTCATTGCTGGTCACCTTAAACAAGCTAAATGGTCTCTTATGATGGACCTTCCTCTTGAAGCTGTACAAAAAGTTGGTTTTAGTGGCGAGTACAATGTTGAAGCCATGCCCTTCACTGCCAATACAGTACTAATTTTCAACACCCAGAAATACCAGGTAAATGGCAAGATCAACGTGGATGAATTCCAAATCAATATGGATTTGAATGGAAAAACTGGAAGTTTGGTCAGCAGTTGGAACTACCAGGAGAACTACGCTGGTGTAGAAATCGACTTCCAGTCACCACTTACGACACTGGACAACATGTCTATCTCAGCAATGTATGACTTCCGTAGTGAAAAGAAAGTGACCCTCAAGATGACACGTAACTCAAAGGAAATCAACCTTTCTGGACGACTTGAAGGACAAACCATTGTTTTTGAAGGCACAACTCCATTCAGTGGATGGGAAACCTTAGGCCTCATTCTTCATCTCCAGCTCTGCTGTTAAAGCCTTTGTGTCCAGGAATGACCGCAAGATTGAGGTTACAGGAACACTGCACATCAGAAAAAAGGGAAAAGATCAATCTCACCATCAATACTCCATATGCTGGCTATGAAACCATTGCTGTTGACACAAGCTACAGCTTACAGGGCCAGGTGAAAACAGTGGAGTTTGAAGCCAAATTTGGCTCGCAAGAACTCTCTTTGAAGGGAGACATCAAGACAAACAACATCCTAGCTCCTGAGATGACCCTCAATATCATTACTCCATTTGAAACTGTAAGAAACTTTGGTGGAGAAGCTCACTGGGACCTGAGAACCTTGTCAAGACTGCCGAAGTGAAGGCTTTCCGCAATGACCGTCACTACCACTGGCAGTTAGAGGCAGCTGCTGATAGTCCCCTAAAGGGTTATGCCAAATCCAAGATCACAACTCCCATTGCTGGATGGACAACAGTCAGTTTGGAAGGAAACTTTGATTTCACCTCCATGCCTTACAGGGCACTTTTTTACTTAAAGAAGGAGTTATCAACACATTTGAAGTACAAGCTAGTGTAGCAGAAACTGCAGTATCTGGTGAAATTACAACACCAATCTCTGGCTGGGAGAAGATTGCTTTGAATGGCGACTATTCTCTGGTTAACAACCTTCTGTCTGGAAATGTGGAGATCACCAAGAGTTCTGACAAATATCATCTCAATGGGGAGATTGCTTTTAATACTCAGAAGCCGAAGTTGAATATTGGCATCAGGACACCTCTAGCAAATGCTGCTGATATTGAGCTGGTTCTTGATGCTAATCTAGTTGATACAGAAAAGAATTTCCACATTACCTTCAAAAGGAATGACATCACTTATTCTGCAGATTTCACAGGCCAAATGATCTACAAAACAGGATTCGTGAAGCTGCATACAACTTCGCCAATTCCAGGTTTTACATCCCTGGATGTTGATGCCAAATACGACTTTACTGGAGACGTGAAAACTGCCGAAGCCAATCTTATGAAGGAAGGAAATAACCAGCATATTTCACTGACCTCCACAGTCAATGACAACGATTTCCATGTTGAAGTTGAAACACCATTTGCTGGTTTTGAATCTGTGAAGATGGACGGAGATTACGCTTACCTCAATAATAAACACAGTGTCTCAGCTTCATTTGAGAAGAATAGTCAGAAGTATGACTTCCATGCTGAGATTTCACTCAATGCCAACTCGGTTACCCTGACACTGGTAACCCCAATAGTAGACATTAAGCATGTTGTCATTAGTGGCAATTACCAGGCTATTGAGAATGGAATGGAATGTTCTCTTGTCATTGAAAGAAACCAGGATAAGTTTGAGTTTAATGCTCAAGGGTATTTTACACCCAAGAAATCAGATCTCCACCTCTCACTGGAGATGCCTGTTGAAGGCTGGAGGAAGCTTGAGCTGGATACCCACTATGATGTTATCTCCGACAAGAAGTCTGCTGAGATCTCTTTCCAGAGAGATTCACTGATGAAAAAGCTGTATGTTGAGGGAAGCTACAATCTGAAATATGGATCTTTTAAGGTTATGACTCCTATTGAAGACTTCAGAGTCCTAGGTGCTGAATATACACTAAACCTTGATGAATACAAGAAACTGGATGCTTCTGTAAAGATCAGTCAAAACTCCAATGAATGGGCTTTCGAGGCACATGGACAATTCAGTGATGACAACATTGTCATTAAGTTCCAGACACCATTTGAAGGTTTTGACACCATTGCTGTAGAAGGAAACCTAAACTATGGAAACAGATCTGGAAGAGGTGTCATTCAGTTTGGACCTTATAAGTTTACCACCAGCATTTCCTACGCAAATGATAATATGTCCTTTGATCTGACGACTCCCTTTGATGTTATCAAGACTGTCCCTTTCAGCCCGGTACAGCTGGACCACCAGCCAAAAGGGTGCTACTCTAAACATCACTTACAATGACAAGAACTTTGTTCTCTCAAGTTCTCTGCAGCTCTCTACAAGGACCTCTAACATCACCTTCCAGGCCACAACTCCTTTCGAGGGTTTCCAGAACTCCTTCATTGAAATCAAGTATGACATTGATAACAGAGAGGAGCTCCTTGCATCTCGTGTCAGTGTAGATGATCACAGCTACAGCTTTGTTGTAGGTGGATATATTGAGGACAAGCTAGCCGTGTTCAAGTGGAACCTTAACTCTCCTCTCACTGGCTGGACTGATGCCAAGTTTGTAGCTAAGATTGATCTTTCCAGTGAAAATAAAAACTTGGAAATCTCCCTTGAGAAAGAAGGAGACCTTAAAGCCATTGCAGTCTCTGGCAAGTTCATTGGCAGTACACTGGACTTTAATCTGCGAACTCCTTTCAGAGGGCTCAATAATTTCAATGTGTTTGTTCTCTTAACCGGTCCAAGAGGTCTCTTGAAATGAGAATGATGAATGATGCAGGACAAGCATCTTTAGCTGGCAATTTCAACTCCCTCAGATTCAACATGAAGACTCCATTTGAAAGGGCAGAACAGATCTCCTGGGAGGTCACCAAGACTGGTGAAGGCTCCTACAAGGCTGAATGGAGGAGGAATGATAATTATGCCATAATCATGATAGAAAAGGATGGAAAGAAAAATTCTTTCCAAGTGGATGTGAAGAGTGAGTTTCAAGGATGGGAGATCTTGGCTCTTACTGGAAGACTAGATCAAGATACAAAACAGGCCTACCTCAGTGGAGCCATCAATGAACAGAAAATCACCATCTCTGGATCAGGTTCCTTTGGTAACAAAATCCAATATACCATGAAGATTGAAACACCCTATGAAAACTACAGAGTTGTAGATGTTCAAGTAGATTATGTGAAGAGAAGGAACACAATGAAGATCGAGGCTTCTTCATCCTCTTCTGATTTCCATCTTCTTTGGTCACGCTCAGGATCAGGCCTTGAAGCCCACCTTATTGTACCTAATTCACAGCAGAATACTGAAATTTCCATTAACCTCACCCCTACTCAAGGAAAAATAACCATAACATCACGATTCGAGCCTATCAGGGATTACCTCCAAGAATACCATGTTAACCTTGGTCAGAATGATATCACTGCTGACCATATTATCAAGCTGAATGGTCATGAGGTTTTCAAGATGGACTTTGAGAGGAATGCTTCTGAACAGAAGGGACACCTGGAAATTCACATTCATGTAGCAGAACGCCACACAACTATTCATTTCCAT